ATCTTTGCAGTCATCAGCCTTCTTTCCTACTCCTGGCCCAGACCCTCACTGATCTGTTTTCTCTCAATCTTAGATTTTTTTTATCCTCTTACTCTTAGAGACAAGTCTTGAACACTTCTATTCGAGTCAGCCAAGGGCTTGGGTATATAGTGGAGAATAAAACTGCTACCATGTCCTTCTTCTGGGAGATTTAGTCTTGCAGGAGAGATTATTAAATAAATATGTAGTTATGGATTGAAAAGTGCTGTGAAAGATAAATGAGAAGTGTGTGGTGAATGATAATGGGGGATACTTGTTTGATGGGAGCAGTTCAGGGAAGGATTCTTGAGTGAGTGGCTTGCAGGATGAGAAGGGCCTGGCAGGTATAGATTTTGGGAGAAAAAACCTGCCCTGAAGGTAGGTGCTGAATGCTGGCTCCTTGAGGCCTATGGGAAAAGAGGCCTATGTGGTCTGAGGGGAAAGAGACAGAGATCAGTGAAAAAAATTTGGTGGCTGGGGGGGTGGTGGTGGTGGTGGTGGTGGATACTTTCCCATGTCATTATTACTGTTTTATTTTTAGAATGTTGTTTTTAATGTCAAGGTATTTACATGTGATACTCATATGGTTATATGAATTTCCCAGGTCCTTAGAGTTATTATTCCCCTGTGTTAAATACATCTTCTGCAGTCTCCAGCCCCACTGCATATTCAACAGTGGCTGCAAGCTGTGTGTGGATATAGATGGAAGTGTGTGTGTATTATCTCCAGTCTTCCTCCTCTCTCAGTCCCACAGGGAGTGTGTTCCCAAATAAAGTTCTTGGGAATTATCTTACTTTTTGTTAAAATTTTACACTGAGGATTATTTAAAGAAACCCCAGAATTGTTAGGAAAGTATGGAGAAATTTCCTTCTTAACCACTGTTGTTAGTTAAAAGTGCTTCGGGTATACTGAGGCCTCAGGGACTTGCTCAGAGAATAACCAGTTTAGTGATAAATATTGTTGCTTACTAGATTACATTGCTCTCTGCATGAGCTGCATAAACAGAAAGTATGGTATTTCTCTTTTTATTTTTCAAATGGGATAAATGGGTATAGAAACTATAAATCCTAAATGCATCCCTGACAGTCTCGATGGCAATTCATAGTGCTGTGCCACATAACTCTGCTCTTTGTCACTTTAAATTTATGATCACACACCTCAGATAGGCACTCTGAGAAGCGGGGCCATCCTATTGCGCTTTCCTAGTAAGGTCATTTTTCCACATGCAGGCTTGATAACTTCATTTTTCTTCGTACTTAGACTTCCTGCTTATTTCCTGATTTCTGGAGCAGTCATAGTAGGCTAGATAATGCCATAGTGACAGACAACCCTCAAATCTCAGTGGTTCCCCCAGCAATATTTCTTATTCACCCTTCGTATCATTAGTGGATTGGCAGAGAATCGCTGCCCATTAAATTAGTAACTCGGGGACCCACGTAGCCACTGGCTGATTTCTGTGGCAGAAAGAGCATTCTGGAGGGTGTGGTACTGGCGACGAAGTGCTCCAGGCTACAGGTGACAGCCCGTCATTTTTCTGGACCCAAACAGTCATATGTCTCATCCAACATGAGTGGCTAGGAAGCATCATTCTACATTGGGCCCAAAAAGCTGGGTAATGGCAGAGAGTCCAGAACTGTTTGGCAAGCAGCCCACGTGACCAGCACACGTTTGTAGCTACTGATTTGGTTTGCACTTCCACTGCGAAAATTAAAGTGCTCCCCTCTGTCTCCCTCTAAAAGCTCCCTGAGACTTAGTCATTTGCCTATTACCAAGTTTATAGTCCTCTCCAAATTTACATCTTCTTTCTCCTTCCTGTTTATTCTGATGTAGGAAGTATCTTTCTTCTGATCCAAATGTTTTTTGATCATATATTCCTGTCAGTAACAAATTTTAAGCCTATACAGTGGTGTCCTCCTAAGTGTTTAAGAATGGGCTGTCTCAGGGGGAAAAAAACCCAGCCTCAGTTTTTAGTGTTACCTAATTTCTGTGATGTAAATACGTCTCCATGGCCGGTAGCATGCATGGCTATCAACATGACGTCACTGAATGTGCATTTGGGAAGAGATGTACACAGTAGACTTTCTCAAGGGGATATGAAGTGACTCCAGCACACTACTGATAGTTATTCATTAAACAGACATACGTATTACTGGTATACTTGTGTCTATTTTATAATAGAACTCATATTAAATGTTTGTTTATGTGTCTATATGTCACACACATACATGTACACATATTTTAGTAAAACTTGATTTTTTTTTTTTAGATTAAAACCAAAACAGTTACTACCATCTTCTCCCCACCAACTCTGGCGGATTGCCATACAAACCCCACAGGGTTCATTCAGGTACCTTTCCTTGAGAGACTCCTGCTCTGGCCACTAGGATTTCGCTCCTGTAGTTAATCACCCTGTGTCCTGCAGCATCATCAGCTGCAGTGTCCTGCAGCATCAGCCTCTTCCCAGGAGAATCCTGGCAAGCCCTGATGTGCCCCTCTGTCTTCCATCACTGAAGATGGTCCCTGATCCAGTATTGCCCTTTATCAACAGCTGTGTTTTTCTGTTCCCCTTCGGAGTGTGACCCCTGAGACAGACATTTAAACATGCCGTCTCCACTGCTGCTCTTTCATTCCGTCACCAGCTGACTCTCATCTGACTATCATCCCCACCACTCTTCTGCAATCGCTCTTGCCATGGTCATCAGTTATCTCCATGCTGCCACATCTCGGAGATCACAATGTCTGTCCTCATCTCAGTTGGCTTCCCAGGGTCAGCCCCCTACTCCATCCTTCTTGAAGCACTTGAAGTCTTTTTCTGTCTTTTGACTTTTGCATTAATATCCTCTCCCACTTTTCTCCCTCAAAGGTCTCTTTTGCTCCTTTCCTCTGTGACTCAGGAAATGGCTATTAGCCCCCTGACTCCCCTTCCATGTTCATGCTGTTTCCCTGGGAGGGCTCATTCATTTTCAGGCCTTTATAGACCACAGGTGTGCTAACGTTGCCACCTAGATTTCCAGGTATGTCTGTGCAGTTGCCCCCCTTGTGTCTTCTATCTCAAGATCTCATAGGTATCTTAATGGCTACGGCTCCAAAATGGAGCTCCTCATTCCTTCTGATCCTTCCACCTACCATTCCTGTTTTGTCCCAGTCTTTCTTATTTAAAAAAAAAAAAAAAAAAAAAAAAGAATGGAGGGGGGCCTGGGTGGCACAGTTGATAATGCGTCCAACTCTTGGTTTTGGCTCAGGTCATGATCTCAGGCTCACACCCAGCACGGAATCTGCTTGAGACTCTCTCTCTCTCTCTTCCCTCCTGCTCGTGCGAGTGAACATTCCCTCTCTCAAATAGATAGATAAATGGTAAGCTGTTTACTCAGTTATTAAATCCAGAAACTGAGAATCATCCATAACTGCTTTCCTTTCTATACCCCTCACACCTACCGAGGCCATAAGCACTGCCTTTTGCTCTGCCTATAAAACATGTATAGTATTATAAAATGTAAATAAAATTTCTCTTCTCCCCTTGGGTCCTCTCCAGCACACTTTGCATCAACTCCCGGTTCCCCCTTTGGCCTCCCAGGCTCCATGTGGTCTGGCCTCTGCCTTCCCTTCAGCCTCACCGCATGTCACTCTGTCTTTGGCGCTTTTGCTCTAGTAAAACTGTCTTTCTTTTTGTCTCTAGAACAGTCTGGTGTCCCTCCTCAAAGCTTTTGCGGTCTTTGGTCCCTTCCTGATACTTAATGCAACTTGGGATTGCTTTCTCTTATTTATTACCTGATCTGGTAGAAAGCTCTGTGAGGGCAGGAGCATATCTCTGTGTAGTGTTTGGTGGGTGCTCTGTATACATGTGGAATGAAAAAAAATGAAGATATAGAAGGAATGTGTTTCAAAAATCATGGGCAAAAGAGTACTGAGAAGGTACCGATTAGATTAACCTTTACAGGATCAAATGTAAAATCCTGTGCTTTGGTTAAAAAAAAAGTCCATTTCATCGTACAGAATCTGGGAACTCTGGCTTGTCACCTGTTCCTAACTCCTAGGAGCCAGAGTGGTGGCTGAACAGGTAATGAAGTCCTCCACTGTGGTAATAAATCTATGTGTTTCCATATTAAAGGAGGGATTATTTTGCAGTATTCTCCTCCAGTGACACCAGTAAAACGATCACAACTTTTTCAATCACAATAGAACACCTCATTTATTCACCCATTTATTCAATATGTCCTGAATACACTCTGAGCACTAGTCTTATTGTTGTAAACAAAATTCTCCTGGCTCTAGTATTCATGGGACTTGGTACCTAATTCCCAACTTGAAGTGATTTCTCCTTCAGTGAAAGTATTAAAGCAGAGACCAGTTTGTCATTTATTGGGAGGCAGAGCAAGTTCGTGGTTCAGAACTCCTGCCCTGGAACCAGACTCGAGAGCTCAGGGGCTTCAAATCCCAGCTACAATATGTATCAGCTATGTGACTCTGGGCAGGTATTAAAAATGTCTCTGTGCTTCCAGATTCTCCTGTCTAAACCAGAGACAGTAACAGTACTGCCACATGAAGTTGTGAGTCACAAATGAGTTAATGTGTCTAAATCATTTAGAATAAGACATAGTACTTAGTAAGCCCTTAATAAATAGATGGTAAGCAGTTAATTAATAAAATCATGTTGTCTGGAGGGCCAAAGGTTGGCAGACAGATTGAGGGCAGGGAGAAGTAGCTGTAGAGGGAGCCTGGGAGATCAAAGCAGAAAGTATTATTATTTTATTTATATTAAAGATGAATAATTTGAGCTTGGACTTGAAAATCTTGACTGGACAGTTGATGACATTTGTTTCATGTAGCCTTCTGTTTGAGGCTGGAGAGATGCAAGTCCTGTATAGAAATACTACCTGACAGTTTTATTTTTTCCTCCTAACGCTAACAAAGAAACACTCTTCTGGGAATGACAAACTCATGGCTCTCCATGAACACATATTTTTGCTTTGGTTTTGTTTTAGTGGCAGCTGAAATACCCGAAACTAATTCTCCGCGAAGCTGGCAGCGTACCTGAGGACCTCCATAAAGAAGTTCAAGAAGCCTTCCTAACGCTGCACAAGCATGGCTGCTTCTTTCGGGACCTGGTTAGGATCCAAGGCAAAGATTTACTCACTCCAGTATCTCGCATCCTCATTGGTAACCCAGGCTGTACCTACAAGTACCTGAATACCAGGCTCTTTACGGTGCCCTGGCCAGTGAAGGGTGCTAGTACAAAATACGACGAGGCCGGGATAGCTGCTGCCTGTCAGACCTTCCTCAAGCTCAATGACTACCTGCAGATAGAGACCATCCAGGCTTTGGAAGAACTTGCTTGCAAAGAGAAATCTAATATCGATGCCGTGCCGGTGTGTATAGGTCCAGATTTCCCCAGGGTCGGTATGGGGTCCTTTGATGGACAAGATGAGCTGGACATTAAGAACAGAGCAGCATACAACGTAACTTTGTTGAATTTCATGGATCCCCAGAAAATGCCATACCTGAAAGAGGAGCCTTATTTTGGCATGGGGAAAATGGCTGTGAGCTGGCATCATGATGAAAATCTGGTGGAACGGTCGGCGGTGGCAGTGTACAGTTATAGCTGTGAAGGTACAGTCTGCTCTGGGAAGACGCAGCCCTGAGTGGCACATGAGTCGTGGAAGCTCTGGAGGTGTGCGTGTGCTTGAGTGGGAGTAAGTGAGCGTGTGTGTGTACCTGTACGGACATGGCTGTCATGTGTCCTTTGTAGGTTTGCCACACCCAAGTATCTGCAGAGTGTACCTCTTTCTCATCTAGTGGGGCTGTCTAGCTCATTGTTACACTGTACTTAGATGGAATATTTCTATGTGTAAGCACTACTGTCATTCTGTCTTTCTCATGCCCAGAGAGCAGCATCTTGGTTTCAGACAGCCAACTGCCTTTCTCTAAAGCTCCCGTAGCCTGCACAGTTGCTATAATTAACTTGCTGATAAAGGGCTGGGAAAACAAAAATCTGTCAAATCTTTCCAGGTTCCCATAGGTGCACATTTCCAGTCTTGCCAAGATACTTTATTGTGGTTGACATCACTATCTTGATGGGAGTGATTTGTCAAATATGGACTTGTTCTTGGCTTCATAGAGATTTGACTACTGTCCTTCCTGGCCAGAAGCAGTTGAAGTGGGTTGTGGCAGCAGACAGTCCTTTGGTTTTAGGGCACTCTCCCAACGACCCCCTCCCCCATCAGCTCTATAGTTTTAGACTGCAAAGGGGTGCTGTGGGCAATCTTGTTCTTGAAGTTTCTGAAATCTGGCCCTCTTGGAACAGAGATCATAGGACTACCTTTTTGTGGCCTACCAGAACTTTCCTTCTTCTGTTGTACAGTTTCTGCGTGTTTTGGGACTTCATTGTTTTTCAGCATGGGGTTACAAAAAGATAGTTGAGCATATCCAGTATAGCGTGACTATTGCTGACTTTGTCCTGTGCCTGAGCATTTGATAAAGGATGACAAGACACAGCATTACTCTGTTTTCTGTTTATCTCTTCTACCTGCTTATTGAAAGATGCTTGGAAAACCAGGGAATGGACTGGAACAGTGAAGGGTCAGGTCACTGCTCCCTGAAAACTGTTTTTGTTAATTGGATGTTGTTAACACTGTATGCTTTTTGTTTTCTAAACTGTTTTGGAAAAGAGATTTTTTTTAAAGATTTTATTTATTTATTCATAGAGACAGAGAGAGAGAGAGAGAGGCGCAGAGACACAGGCAGAGGGAGAACAGGCTCCATGCAGGGAGCCCGATGTGGGACTCGATCCAGAGTCCCCAGGATCACGCCCTGGGCTGCAGGCGGCGCCAAACCGCTGCGCCACCGGGGCTGCCCCGGAAAAGAGATTTTAAAAAAGAAATTCTCTTAGTTCTCTTGAAATTGCTTGCCATTTTCCAAGCTCAGACATTTCCTCGGGATAGCTAAAATATCTTAACCCATGTCCTCAGCCCAGAACAAGCAAGTAGTTTAGGTGTTGGAAATTTTACCAGTTTCCCTGGCACCTTAAATAATGATGCTGACCTAAGAAAATTGCTCCAAAGGGGATTTGATAGTGTCCTAATGGAAGGAACTGAGCTCCTCTGATCTTTACTAAGGTACTGCCAAGGATTTGGGAACAACCACGTCCAACAACTCTGATGGGGAGGGAACAGTGTATCCAGTTTGTTAGTTTCCTTCTTCAGGAGGCTGCTCTCTGAAGCTGAGGCTGTTGAGGCCATGGTATGTGATAGCTCAGACTGCTACAGAGATGGCTTTGTGCCCCGATGGCCTCTCAGCCCTACAGTTTAAGAGTCCTATTGTTCTCTCAGAGCATGGAGGATCAAGTCTCTTTTGAAACCTAGAATATTGTTCAGAAGGAATTTATATTTCGAATGAATGGTTTCTATGGTTGGGAGAACTTAAGACTGATAAAGTATACAAGTATACATAAATACATAAAGGTTTATCCTTGTAACTGTCATCTGGAGGAGGGAACTGCAGAATTGCAGTCTGTAAGAGCAGTATGATTCCTTTGTTCTCTTAGAACAAATCCCAGAGAATCCCAGAACTTCATCTAATAAATAATAACAATTCCAGGAGCTCTCATTTATTGAGCACTTACTATGTACTGGGCATTGGTAGAAGCATTTTACATATGTTAATCCATTTTATTTTTATACCAACCCTGTCAATGAAGTAGTGCTGTTCTCTTCGTTTTATAGGTGAGGACACTGAGGCACAGAGGGATGATGAACTTTTCCATGGTTATATAGCTGTTAGCGGAGGTGGGATTTGAACTCAGATGTTCTGGCTTCGGAGTCTTAACAGCTAAGGCTAACTGCCTTTGAGCAGATATTTCCTATTCTTGCAGTATAGCTCCCTCTGGGATTTGGGTTTTTAAAATGTCCACCTCTGTATAGGTGGAGGGAATGTTCTACTTGCTCTTCCTAGCAGGTCCTGTATCCTCTCCTCTTCTGCCCACCACTTCGCTTCTCTCCTCCCACAACATCTGCCATGGCTTTTTACACATGCTATCAGGTGATTGGAATGCATTAGATGCTTATTCTATGAAATGGAACCTTTCTCTAGGTCTCCAGCTATGTGTGTGATGTTGAGTCAGATGGTTTACAAAGCATGTGCCTTGAAACTTTTTGGTGGATGCATTTCTTCCAGGTGACAAGTGATATGTTTACTTCTCTGGCCTGCCTGTAATCTTGCCAAAAGTATGGCAAGGGTGGACTTGAAGAGAGCCATTTGGGTTAATATTACAGCCGAGGTTAGGAAGTACTTGAAGGGGATAAAGAGAATGGAAATTTCAGACAACCGTACTGTTTTCTGAGGCCCTGAACATGATTTGCCAAGCAACTGCTAAAGAAGTTCAGTTGGCTCTTCTTAGGGAGGCTCCAAAGGGGTAATTCAAATGCCCTTTTTGCCTTGAAAGGGCAGGTGAAGTAAAGTATGCTCTTTTGATTATAACTTTGCCATCAGTGAGATCTGGAAGGGACTTTGGAAATCACCTAGTTCAAGCATCTCATTTTACAGATGAAGACACTCAGGCGGGGAGAATGGCAGTGACTTGTCCAAGGTCACACAGTTCCCTAGTGACAAGGAAGTGTTGTTACATGCCACAGGAGTTCACATGAAATGCGTTGGGAGTTCAGAACAGAAGAGATTACTTCCTGCTGAAATTAAATTCAGGTGTAGCTTAAGATCCTTCAGGACTTTGCTTTCAATACTTTTTCCCAGTGAAATCTTTATGTAGATTTATCATGAGTCAGTCATCCGTCTTTAGTTTATTTCTGTGAGTAGAGGTCATTGAGAAGTAATTTGTATAGGATACGTGTAATTATATACTAAATTCATTGGCTTCACAAGCCGTGCTAGTTAATAGATATCCCCAGTAAGAAGATTGAGATGGTACAATATTTAATCAGGAATGGCTTCAGGGAATTGTGTGTAAATAGGCAGAGTATTTGATTTTCCCATGCTAGCTTTGCTGGCAATTGCTTGTTACTCCTGGTTATTAAAAATGGAAAAACGAAAAAAACCCAAACATATATACATACACAGGCACAAATTTTAGCAGAGAAGGCATTAACAACTCATTGTTTAATACAGTCCTACACCTTGTTCTCTGACTGGAATACCTTCAAAAGGGTCGAGTAAATAATTATTGGTTACTTTTATGTTCATTTGGAAGGAAACATTTTTTGCAGCATTTTCTTTATAGGAAAAATAATTCTTTTTTTTTTTTTTTTTGGAAAAACAATTCTTAAGAATTTTAACTAGTGCCAAGTATTGCAGATTCTTGATATTATTTTCCAGATTTCCCAAGAAGAGCAAAGGAAGAAAAGGAATCCATAGTTTCTGCTGAGTATGTGATAGGCTAGAAAGTAGAGACTTTATAATAATTTTCTTGGAATTCTAGGATTCCCATTCATGTCTTTGACTCAGGAAAAGTTGAAATCACTTATGGATGGAAATTCGTTACCATAATTCTTGAATCTTTACTTTGAAACAAGTTTCGTATTACTGAGCTCATCTTTGAGAGCATGACAGGCTAGATTGTAACTGCAGCTATGGGTTTTGAAGCATTCATAATTTTGAAAAATACTGTGATATTTAATGTTTTCCTTAGCCTCCCACATCCCTGTCTGAGATCTCAAAGCTCATTTGACTGTGTTTCATTGTAAAAAACTACTAATGCCATGTGCTATTAGTAATTTTTTTAAAAGATTTATTTATTTCAGAGAGAAAGAATGAGAGGGTGCATGTGTGCATACATGGGGGGAGGGGCAGAGGGAGAGGAAGAGAGAGAATCTCAAGCAATCTCCCTGCTGAGCATGGAGCCCAATGTGTGGCACAATCGCACAACCCTGAGATCATGACCTGAGCTGAAATAAAGAGTTGTAAGATGCCCAACCGACTAGGCCAACTAGGCGCCCCTGCTAGTTATTTGTGAAGTCACTTACACTGTTCAGTAAAACTTTTTGGTTGGTCTAAGTCACATTTTATTTAATCCCTATGTAATTATATGTGCATTGAACAGTAAGCAGCTACTGTCTGCCAAACATTCTTCTAGATGCTGAGCTTAGAACCGTGAACAAAAATCCCTGCCCTCACAGAGCTTGTTTTAGCAAGGAGAGACAGGAAACAAACAAGAAGGTTGTTAACAAGCGGGAGGCACAGGTGTACGGTTTTATTTTATTTATTTACTTAATTTAATAAAGATTTTATTTATTCATGAGAGACACACACGGAGAGAGAGAGAGAGGCAGAGACACAGGCAGAGGGAGAAGCAGGCTCCATACAGGAAGCCTGATGCGGGATTCAATCCTGGAACTGTGGGATCACGCCCTGAGCCAAATGCAGATGCTCAACTGCTGAGCCACCCAGACGTCCCAGATGTACAGTTTTTTTTTTCTTTAAGATTTTATTTATTTATTCATAGACACACAGACACACACACACACACACACACACACAGAGCGGCAGAGACACAGAGGGAGAAGTGGGCTCCATGGAGGGAGCCCGACGTTGGTCTCGATCCTGGGTCTCCAGGATCATGCCCCGGGATGCAGGCGGCGCTAAACCGCTGCACCACCCGGGCT